GGTTGTTTGTTTGTTTGTTTTTTGAGACAGAGTCTAGCTCTGTCGCCCAGGCTGCAGTGCAGTGGCGCCATCTCAACTCACAGCAAGCTCCGCCTCCCGGGTTCACACCATTGTCCTGCCTCAGCCTCCCGAGTAGCTGGGACCACAGGCGCCCACCACCAAGCCCGGCTAATTTTTTGTATTTTTAGTAGAGACGGGGTTTCACCATGTTAGCCAGGATGGTCTCGATCTCCTGACCTCATGATCTGCCTGCCTCGGCCTCCCAAAGTGCTGGGATTACAGGCGTGAGCCACCGCGCCCAGCCTGAAATGGGTGGGTTTTATGATAGGTAAATTATAGCTCCATAAAGTTGTAAGTAAAAGAATAAATATAACCAAGATAAAATATACCAAAGGCTTTGAGTTAGAGGCCTGCATTCGCCTTGTTAAAAAGAGAACTGAGGAAGGAAGAGGTGTGTGCACCCCACTGAGACCCTCTCCTTTGAATCTGGAGGAGTAAAAAAAAAATGGAAAAAGGATGGACTTTCTCCTTATAGATTCAATGTCACTTAATGCCAGGCCAATGATCCTCCTAAAACTACCACGAATACCATAAAATTATGTCATGTCACCAACAACTGGATGAGAAACTGAGGCCACAGAGAGCAAAGACCTGCAAAAGTTACTTGGCTAGCAGGTGGGAGAGTAGGAGTCCCCAGGAGCCTCAGCTTCTAGGCTGACCCCACTGGCATTGAGTCAGGAGACCAAGAACCCCACCCTAGCCTCTCGGCCCATCAGGAGACCCACACAAACTGCTTAGGCAGCTGCAGGGAGGGTTTGGCTCGTGTCACTGCATAGGGGAGGGTCTAGACACAGGGCAGGGGCCCTGGACCCAGAGGCTCCAATATGGCAGGAGGGTCCTATTTCCTTCTCCCCTCTCCCTAGCAGCAGAAATCTCTGGAATGGAAGTATTCACTCCGGCCACTAAGCTCCTGGCGTGGCCTGAAGACAGTCCCTTCCTCTCCAAGTCTATTTCCCCAGCTGTACAATGAGCACTCTGCCTTGGTCCCTGGAAGTCTTCCCTGCCATGAGGTTGGAGTCATATGGTTCTTTGGTGGGACTCTTAGAATTAGGATTTAGTGAGTCCAGGTCTAGGCGTGGGGAGAGTGACAAGGCAGAGAGTGTGGCTGACTTCACGAAGACATGATGGGAACAATTCCACCCCAAGTAGTTCACTGCAGCTTAGCAGCGTGTCTGAAATCCCACCACTAGGGACGCCTCCCACTCCCCTGTTTGCCCCACTTGATGACACCATCTATCCCCACCTGCTCCTGAGTTTTTCCAGTCCCAAGACCTGGGAAAGGACAGTGGGGAACACGGGGTTTAGACTCATAGGCATAACCCCATATCCCCTCCGTTCTGGCCCAAAGCCTGGTTCATCCACAGGCCACAAAGGTCAGCTAGAAATCCCCAACCTGCTGCTGGTTGTTTGTCTACAGGGGCATGTGTGAGCTGTTTAGCTCAGACCTCAAGACAATTCTTTAAGAGAAGCCCCTGGCTTCTCCCAGGGAGATGAAATTGGACCTGTTCTATGGCCCAGAGGGCAGCATGAGGACCCTCATCCCAGTAAAGCCAGCATCTGGAAGACCTTGTCTGCCATGCCAGCTGCCAACCTCTGGAGGGTTCAAGGTTATTTTTCAAGGATAGGTGAAGATAGCTCCTTGCACCCAGTGGAAGCTGGAAGAGTTTGTGAAATTCTCTGCCAAGGCCAAGGCTCCCAAATCTAGGTGAGCGGACCCATGAGCCTGGGCTGCCCAAGACTGGCCCTGGGAGACAAGTCTAGCTCAGTTGGAGCCTCCTGGGCTGAGCCCATCCCCTGGAGTTGGCATTAGCCCCCTGCCCCATAGTCTCCCTGGTTAATAGAATACTCTGCCCACAGAGGTGAACTCAGGTCTGGCCTCTATGGGTGCGGAGGCTGCGGCTGTCTGTTTGAAGCCTCAACAAGGGTTCATCACCATTAAGGACAGAGACCAGGGAGCCGGGGGGCCGGTGACTCACTCAGCAGCTGCTCCCCTGTTATGTAAAGCGGAGCTCAGAGCCATTAGCCGATAGGAGATGAAATTTACATTTTGAATTAACTCGGATCATCAGAATGCTTCATCTCGACCTAGGGAAATTAAACATCAAGTTGGAGGGAACTGTGGGCAGGAGGGGTGGGGGCTCAGCCAAGCATGCCGGATTGACTTTTTCTTTTCATTTTTTCAACAGGCTGCAGGCAAAGGGGACAGGAGGACGCTGCTGTGAAGTCAGTCTTAAAGAGAGAGGGAGAGAGAAAGTGGAGTTACTCTTTTTCTCTGTTTTCCTTGGACAGAAGCACAATAAATCAGCATGGCAGAATTAAATTCAGATCTGTCCGATTTCCTCCAACTCACCCTCTCCTAATAATGGTTATTTATTGAACGCTTATTATGTGCCCAGCACTTAACTAAACACTTTATAGATAAGGCAGAAGTGAATTTGTCTTTGTCTTTCCCCTTCTTTGTTTTCCCAACCCGCATTCCTGAGGGGTCTGATGAGAGAAGCAGAGAGAACGAGTTTTATGAACAACACAAAGTGTTGAGTTATGTTAGGAAGAGTCTGCTGGGTCTTTTAGAGGCAGCATTTGGGAATCTGAGTCCCTAAAGCCTCCTGTGACCACAATGCACAATGAAACCTGCTGCTCTGTCCCAGGGGCCCTGTGGACGGCACCCCCTGGAGGTGTGCATTGTACCTCTCCTCTCGGAGCCCAGACGAGAGACTTCACAGCTATTCTGAGTCCAGCCTTGCAGGCTGGGATGGGGACTCAGGAGGAAAGGTGAAGCTCTTTCCATCTTCCTTTGGCCTCGGAGTTTGTCTGTGATCAGCTGCTAGTGAGAGTTTCCTTCCTGGAAAGGGACTTAGTCCAGATGCCCTTCTAACTTGGTTTAGAACAGACTTCCTGTGTTCAGTCCATCAATCAGCAACCCTGCATCCATCCTCGATCTGCTGTCAACTCCCCAACAACTCAGGCTGTGGGAACAGGGGTTCTCTTTCTACTGGGTCTTCCTGGCCTCATGGACAAACTGACTCCCAGGAACTGGGTTACATGTAACTCAACTTTCTGTGGGTTCACTTGATGCAACCTCATGCCCTTCATGTCCTGCCCCGAGATGCGTCAGAAGTGGTCAGACCTCCTTGTGCTGCGGGTATTGGTTCTATCTGTGAAGTGATGTTCCCTGGGGCCCCTCTAACGTGGGGGTTACAGTCACTGCATAAGTGTGGAGAAAACTACTGATTCAAGTCTGTGCTGGTAACAGCAGGGTCAACTTTTCGTGTTGCTGAGCATGAGAGAATGTGCTCTGAGGAGTGACATTTTTGTTCTGTTCCCAGCTGGCGGATGCTTCCCTAGAATGGCAATTCTCCAAGATCAATCTGTCACTTTCCAATGAATAGTTATCGAACAGCCTCTGACTGCCTGGCACTTAGAGTCAGCCCAAGTGCTTAGGTGAGCTGATCAGGACTGTCTTTCGTAATGAATTGGCCCCACAGGGGGCCCTGTCCTTTTCCCAGGGTCACTGAAAAACTTCAAGCCTCAAAGTATAAGGAGTAATATTTTCTCTAAGGAGAATCTACGTTACTATTCTGCCCCATTCAGAATTGCCTGATGGTCAGTCTTCTGTTCCATCCCCTCACATTTTGGAATTCTGCTTGGGCAGTGAGGGAAGGTGCATTTGCATTCTCCCTTCCTTCCTTCCTTCCTTCCTTCCTTCTTTCCTTCCTTCCTTCCTTCCTTCCTTCCTTCCTTCCTTCCTTCCTTCCTTCCTTCCTTCCTTCTTTCCATCCATCCATTCTTCTGTCCATCAATCCATCCATTCATCCTTCTATCCATTGATTCATCCATTCATCCATCTATCCATCCATCCATCCATCCATCCATCCATCCTTTTGTCCATCCATCCATCCATCCATCCATCCATCCATCCATCCATTTGTCTGTTCATTCATTCATCCATCCATCCATCTATCCATCCATCCATCCATCCATCTATCCATCCATCCATCCATCCATCCATCCATCCATCCACCCACCCACCCACCCACCCACCCATTCTCCCATCCATCCATCCTTCTGTTCATTTGATTCATCAATCCATCCATGCTTTTGTCCATTGATCCATTTATTCATCTATCCATCCATCCACTGTCCATGCATCCATCTGTCCATCTGTCCATCTATCTATCCATCTGTCCATCCAGCCATCCTTCCTTCCTTCCTTCCATCCATTTATCCATCCATTCATTCATCCATCCTTCTATTCGTTGTTACAACCCTTTATTCTTCCATGTAATTATTCTTTCTCATATTCTCCAACTACCTATGCCTCTGGATGCTTGTCATCCATCTGTACATCCATCTAATGGTCCATCAACCTCCAATAAGTCACTCTTCTGATCTCCATTCAGTTCATCAATCAGCAACCCTGCATCCATCCTCAATCCATCCTTTCATCTTATCACTAAGGACACATAGCTCCCCATCTGTGAGAGCCAGAGTTTGAATTAGCCCTGCGTGGCTTTTCCACATGCCTTCAGGATACAAATAACCGCACCTGGACATAGCAGACCAGCTGGGTGCCCTGAGAGGTGTAGACAGGTTGTTTCAAAGTTTCAGAGGAAGGAAAAGAGCATCAGGGAAAGCTCCTCAGAGGAAGCAGTGTTTGAGTACTATCATAAAATAACATCATATTTGGAAAGTCAAGATATAACTGGAAAAGTGTAGGCATTCCAGGGGGTTATGGGATCTGAGTGAAGATTGGGTGGATGGAGGTAGAGTGGTTGGAGAATGAACAAAGGGTAAGTAGAAAGGTAGATGCTGTGTAGACGGCTGGAGGTTGAAGGGATGGATGAGTGGTTTGGTCAGATTAAAGGGTGTGGGAGTGGGAACAGAGAAAGGTAGTGTAGACCCCTCCCATGCTAGGGCAGATTATGAAAAACCAGGCCGTGTAACTGAGCAAAGGTTGATTTTATTAGACAAGGAGGTAGAGAAGCTTGTTGATGACGAGCGAGCTCCCAGGGAGAGTGGCCTTGTCCAAAACCTCCTCTGGTATTCTACACCCTCTGCACGGGGGTGGTGATCAGTGTTGTTCTTCTCAACTTGGGGATATGGGGGCCAGAGACACCGTGGAGTACAGGCCCCAACCCTCTGGTTGTTCTGCAGTCTGCCATCAATCGAGTGCTCATGGCTAAAACTCCAGCCAACAAGGAACTTGAACAGCACAAGTCTAGAAAACAGGCTGTTGTCAAGAGTTTGACTGATGGTTTGGAGCTCAGAAAAAGTTTCCCCATGGTCATTTCTTAATGGCCGTTTCAGAACAAAGGGGCAGAGGCAACCAAACACCTTCCCAGGGTCTCGCCTCTGGCAGGGGAGAAATTGAGGTCTTTGATGGTTTCAGATGTAAGTGCTGCCCTGCTGTTAGGCTAAAATTTCCAGTATTTGAAAAGTTCCAAGCTAATTTTCAGGGAGGAAATTAGATGAGAAGTGGCTTTTAAAACATGGAGAATCTTATGTTTAAAAACTTGGGTTGCCAAGGAAACTCTCTCTCCAATATTTCCTTGCCACCATGTTGTAAATTAAGCCCCTAACTGAAAGGTAATTAAGGTAATTGGTGGCACCGCTGCAGAGAGAATGTGGCAACGCAGCCGGAGAGAAGGAGCCCCCAACTTTTTAGGGCACACAACCCCCTTAGCTCTGGGGAAGCTACATCCATTACTGCATGTGGGGCCCTTGAAGGCACCTTTGGAGGAGAAGGCAGACCAGCAAACAGCTGTGAGCCGTGCTCAGTGAAAGGCCACGGAAAGCAAATCTGAAATGTCACGCTGCTACCCTGTTGGTTTCGAATAGGTGAAAGCTCCATGAGTCAGTTAATGAGCAGATCGGGAAGGCTACAGTGTTCTGGCCCCCTGTGGCCAGGTTAATGTATGTGGTATCAGGAGAGAGCTTCAGCAATTGTTTTCTGCCACCTTCGGGAAGGAGGCAATTTAGCATTTAGTTTGTGGTCCCAGCCATCCAGCAATCCATCTGTCTATTCATCTATCTCTCTATCTGTTCATTCATCGAACTGTCCATCTGAACATCCATCTACCCATCATCTATCCACCCACCAAGTCAGCCATCCACCCATGTATTTGTTTATCCACTCATCCATCTATCTGTTCACCTGTTCATCCATCTACCCACTCTCCCCACATACACAGCTGGATGGATGGGCATATCAATGAATGGAAGGATGGATGTATGGGTGCGTGGATGGATGGATGAATAATGGGAGGGGTGAATGAGTGGACAGAGAATAGACAGACGGATAGTGGATGAGTGCATAGCTACCATCCATCTGTCCACCTATCTCCATTTACCTATCTATGCAGCCACCCACCTACACATCCATACATCCATCATCTATTCGTCATCCATCCTCCATCCGACCATCTATCAGTTCATCCCCTACCCATCCATCTAGTAAGTAAACATTTCCTAAGCATCCATAATTATAGTGACAACATCTCCCACTCACTGAGTGATAAGGTATGTCAAAGCCTTTCCAGGCACAATCTCTTTAGATCCTTTCCTCAACACTGTGACTTGAGTTATTATTTCCATTCCAGAAATGAGGCAGTAGAGAGGTTCTTACAGCTAGCAAAGGTGAGAGCTTGGATTTTAACTCTTGTCTGCACCCTGGGTGCAGATTCCTAGGAGAGGGGCAGTGGGTTTTACCATCATCTATCTCTGCATCTTTGAGCCCGGAGAACAAGATGTGAAGGGGGGTGGGGACAGAGAGCTTGGCTGAAGCACTGGGAAAGAGACCTGTGTCTCAGGCTCCAGGGGCCAGGGGCTCTCGGTGACCCAGATCCAACTGCCTTGGCCCTGACCTCCTGCCCTAGCACACCTTTCTGCACTTTTCTAGGCCTTTCCTCTTCCCATGGGGTAAACACTGCCAGCGTGGTCAGGTTGCTGGTGCCAAGGTGAAAAGTCCATGGATCAGAAACCGGGCCCCCCTGGGAAGTGCTGTTCCCAGAAGCTGAGACCTTTCTTCCAGTAAACTTTGGCCTCCTTCTTTCTGGCCCTGACTCCCCGTGCACAGGGAGTCCAGGTTCACATCAAAGGGGTTGGGGGGCGGGGAGAGAGGGGTGAGCAGCTGAGCACCCCATGGCCCAGTGCTGCACTGTGCTGGGGCTTCAGGCGCTTGCTTCTTCCTAGTCAATTCAGTCAACATCCCAACTGGGGGCAGGTCTCAGTCTTCTCATTTTGCAGAGAAGGAGACTGAGGTTCGTAGTGGCAAAGTAACTCTCCCCAGGTCACACGGTTAGTTTCAGGGAGAGAAGTCTCACCTTGAACCCTGATATCAGCAGGCAGCAGCTGGAGCCAGACTGTAGTGGGCCTGGGGGTGAGTAAGTGGGCTCCACTGTAAGCCAGTCACTTCTGAGCTGGGTGACCCTAAGTGAGTCCCTTAACCTCTCTGTGCCTCATCTCCCTCTTTCTACTTACAGGGTTGAGAAGACTCACAGAAGGGGTATACACCAATGCTTTGGATACTCTGGGCACTCAGTAAATGCAGGTTCTATGTGGTAACTGTCTCCCATGTGTACTGGAGTTCTGCAGGGAGAAGTTCGTTGCGCAGAAGAGTCCCACAGCTGCATGCTGGCTGAAAGGCTGCAGCTGCACATCGCGGAGGCTGAAACACCGGGAGAGGAGAGGATCGATCTGCTGTCATTCGGCCCCAACAAGGGCACCCCGAGGCATGGCAGCTCCTCCACCACTGTGGCAGACTGCAGTCCCGGGAGAGGCTGCCACCTTGCTGAGGGGGTGGGTGGGAGCCGGTCCCTGGGGGCGGGTGGTTCCCCTCCACAACCCTCTTCACAGGCAAAACCCAGGGACAGGTGTTAAGAGCTGTTTGTCATCCATCTAATGAACATTTGTTGAGTGAACCTCCTAGGAGCAGGAGCTGTCTTGTCCTTATCTCCTCTGACTCTGGTGCCCAGCACACTGCCTGGTGATACCCACTGGAGCTGACCCTCCCAAGGGCTCCTGTGTACCAGCAGAGAAGGCATTTCCAACAGGCTGCCTCTCCAAGCCCAGTCTACTCTCTAAGGCAGCCATTGCCTGTGTCCTGCTCACCGGGCTTAGGGGGCCAAGATAACCAAGGTCACTGGGATCCTAAGGGACAGAGTGGGATTTGAACCCCGGTGTGTCTGCTCCGCCCCAGAGGCACTGCCTCCGCCACTTTCTCCATCTGCTGACCCCCAACTGCTTTGCAAATGTTACCAGTGTCTACTGGTGGCAAAGGCTTGCTCAACCCAGGAGCATCTACTGAGTGCTGTCTCCATGGCAGGGGCTGGGGGACTCACGGGAAAGCCAGACACAGCCCAACCGGGGCTGAGGGCTTCTGAGGACACTGCGCCTGCTATGGTTTTCTGTCAGGGGTACCTGCCTGGGAGTCAACTATGGAAACACTTTGGAGCTGCTTCCCAAGGCCAGAAAGAAAGTCTGCCCCACTGCTCCTTGTGGAGTAAAATCAGAGTATTTACTCCCTGTGGAGTTTGCCCCAGGTGCCAGGGGCTGTGCTGAGCCCCTTCCCACGGTCTCCCCTGAAAGCCCCTGAGGGAAATGCTGCCTTCGTTCGCATGTTGTTAATGAGAAAACCATAGGGAATTAGCCGTGAGCACCACCATCTTTCTTGTCCCTTCGAACATCTCCAAGTCAGATAATCATAACAATAGTGGCAGGCATTCCACATTCATACAAGCTGGCAGTCCATCCTGCCTTGGCCCCCAGCCCAGATAAGCAGAGGGACGTGGTGCTGCGCCCTGCATCTCTATGGATGGGGAAACTGAGGCTCGGGGCCGGGAGGAGGCAGATCTGAGGGCTCCCAAGTTTCTCTTCCTCTCGCAGACAGACTAAGAGAGTCACCCAAGGTCATCAGAGCTGCCGCGGCGGCAAGACAACAATGTTCTGACTTCTGGTCAGGTCCTCCTTCCATCACGACGCCCCAGCAAGGGAGGGGAGGCAGGCGTGGGGGCCGTCAGGGGCCTCTTTAATTCATGAGTTACTGGCAGAAGCACAATCTCCAGGGAAGATTGATGACCGGCTGCAGGTATTGGTGGGTGGATTCATAAAGCTGTCGGCTGCGGGCCGTAAATCAAATGAATATTCAAGATTCCGCCTCGGGAGCAATTCCCTGGCTCCGACAGTAACAAGATGGATGTGGGCAGGAAGGCAGGCGTGGTGGCCTCAGAAGCCCTTGGCCCCGGAATGAGGCACCGCACTTGCTCAGAACTTCTGCATCTGCCTGGGAAATTTGGGCAGCTCAGAAGAGGGAGGAGAGCAGATCATGGACCCCAGACCCAAACGTGGACCCTATGTTGAGGATTATGTTTTATTGAGGCATCATTTACTTGCCGTAAAATGCAGAGGTCTTAAGTGGAACGTGGGAGGAGTTTGGACACCTGTGTGTAATCATCACCCAGATCAAAGTCTAGAACACCCCATCATCACCCCAGAAAGTTCCCTTGTACTCTTCCCTGCTCACCCCCCATCCCGAGCCCCACGCAGCCACTGCTCCTCTTTCTCTCACTGGAGTATGTGGACTTTTGTTGAGGACGTGGACTTGTCTGCCTGTTTTGCTCAGCTTTGTCTGCGTGGCTGAGCTGGGAGCAGCTCCCTGTCCTGCTCCGCTGTACGGTCCCCCATGGCAAGCATCTGCCACCATGGTATGGGCCATTCCACCCTTCATGGCCACCTGGGCTGTTTCCACTTTTGCCGTTCTGAAAGTCTGCTGTGAGTTCCTGCAAGGGTTTTTCTGGGTGCTTTTCTTCGGGTAAACACCTGTGAGTGGAAGGGCTGAGTGGAAGGGCTGGGTACCAGAGCAGACATAGCTTTACCGTTTTAAGGAACTGCCAGACAGATTTCCAAGTGACTATGCCTCTGCATTCCTGCCAGCAGTGGACCAGAGTTCTGGCACTCTGTCCTCATCCTTGCCAGCGGTGTTTATGACACCTGTTCAGGTGAGTGCAGTGGCAGCTCACCAGGAGACCCCCCCATCCTTTGCTCAATTCACCAAGTATCCACTGGTCCTGGGACACAGCCTTTGCTGTCCTCTTACGAGCCTTTGGGGAAGGTAGCTCATCTTTGTGGCTGAGTTCAGGAGCCGAGTCCCCAGGATCTGCCCTCCCCACCGGGCTGCCGCATGTTCCTGGGGCTGCCGAGGCTGGGACTCAGAGCTGCCTTTTTAAGAACCCTCCCATGGCTGCCCACTGCTCTCAGGAGGCAATGCACTCTCCTTCCGGTGGTCACGAGGGCCAGTGTCATCTGACCCTGGCCACCTCTCTGCCGCCACCCCAGGCCACCATCCCACCTGCTAACCATGGTCTACTGCCTGGGATCAGGTCCCACCTAGGACCTTTGTCCTGGCTATTCCTTCTGCCTGGACTCTATTCTCCAGCCCCTTCTGTTGATAGCTGTGTCCAGGTGGAAGGAACGGTCACTGCCTCTGACAGTGATGAGATTGCTGTGGGTGAGATGCTGGGCACGCTCACCAGGGGGTCCCATCACCAACCTCATCCTCCAGACAAGGAAACTGAGGCCCAGCAAGGTCACTGGAACTGCTCAAGGTCATGCCACAGGTCAGGGGCAGAGAGGAGACCCACCTGCATCTCAAGCCTGTGGAACCATCCTCTCCTCCGGAGTGGCCTGGCATCTTGTCTGAGAAGGAAGCTCTGGGCTGGCCTCGGGCACAGGCTAGATGATATGAAATGTCAGCCCCTCTTGGGATCCACACTCCCCCAGTAGGGCAAAAGGCACACTCGTGCCTCTTCCTCTTCTGGAGAACATTTCCCCATTTCCCAACTCAGCATCAACTTCTTTCCTAATTCTGGGCCATATTGCTTCACCTCCATTAGACCCTACCACAGACAAGTGTTCCGTGGGATGGTGAGGCTTAAAAAGTTAACACAGGAGAGAGGTGGCCAGCACCACTGGGTTTCCCCTACTATCTGGAGCCCCTGTCCATCCTGGTACACGACCAGCCCCCAGGACTCATCAACATCCTGGAGGTCAAAGTCTCCACAGGTGGGACAACCCAGAGCAAATCTTGTCCCACGAACTCTAGTCCCTTTGTATGCTGTTCTGTCCGGGGGCAGGCTGGTGACAGAAGACACGGTGACCCCCACCCAGCCCAGGTAGCCCTGCCTTCTCTCCCCAGAGCCGAGAGCACTGATAGCCTTAATTGTTGAAGAAAGGGACCTGTCCCAGGGTCTTCACTTTCTAGATCCTGCCAGCAGCCCTGATTTCTACTGATAGAAATAGAAATCATTCTACTGATATCTAATATTGCTGTCATTCATCAGCGCCCCTCAAATCAACTCCCCAAAAAACAGTCACCTCAGATTCTCCCCGTTGAAGTAAAAGTTTCTTTTCCCAGACTTCTAAAGTCCGAGAACAAACCTTAGCAACACAGGCACGTCTCCTGGGCAGAGGCGTGCGTCATGGAAAACTTGGAGGTTGGTGATTGGGCCGCCTCTGCTGCAGAGTCAAGTCCCTGAACGCTTGAAAAACAACATAATGTATTCCTGTCTGCAGCTCTGAGCAAAAGCTCATTTTGTGTCCTGTGTTTCCATTTCCTGAGGATTAATAAGTGTGGAGGGGAACTCGGGCTTCGTGCCGAATATTTATTTAGTCAATATACACATCAATTTAGCAAATTAGAGATCGCAAGCCATTTCTAAGCAATGCTGTAAAAATAATAGCTGTACTTTAAACTTGTAATGGATTTTGGTTTGGTGGGAGGTGGTGGCTACTACGTGCCTGGCACTTGATAAACACAAAGAAGTTTAGTTCTCCTTAAACTTCAGTGGATGTCTGAGTCATTGGAGATGTTTGTTTACAAAGCAGACAGATCCTGTTACCCAGGGCACAGGCTGAGGGGTCTGGGGTGGGGGCTCTGGAACACAGGGAAGAGTGGGCTTCCAGTGAACGACCCTGTGTCTACCCCTGGCTGTGGAGGGCAGGGTTTCTCTGCCCCGGGGCTGCGGTCTTGAGGGTCTGCGTGCCTGTCCAGAGTGGGGGCTGCTCTGCGCACCGGACAATGTTCAGCCTCACCCCCATCTCTGTCCACTAGATGTCAGCAGCAGCAGCCCCCTCCCCAGCTGTGACAATCAGAAATGTCTCCAGACACTGGCACATGGCCCCGGGTGGGCAAAATCTCCCCCAGCTGAGATCTCCTGATGTAGCGCAGGGTTCTCAGGTTCTCTGAGCCCCATTTCTTCATGGAGACACACATTCTCATGAGCAGGGGTTCTATCCCACAACCCGGTGAGAGCACAGCTGCTGCTCACATGGCAGAGCTGAGAAAACTTTGATTCAGAGAGGCACAGCGACTTGCCCAGGGGTACACAGCACCCGCAGCTGACCTGGGGTACGCAAGGCCCTTCCAAGTCCTTGGAATGCTCAGTGGCCCCTTCTCATCCCTCGAGTCTCTGTCCCAATGTCACCTCCTCAGAAGGGCCCTGCCTGTCTCCCTGTGCTAGGGTAGGCTCTTGGCCCTGCTCTTCTGATGCTCTTTCTTACCCCTCTGCCGTGTCCCTCACAGGACTTGGCCTAGCAAGCATCGTGACTGTGTGCGTATTGACTTGTCCACTTCACTGTCCCCCACTGACCTGTGGGCCCCTCAAGGTGGGGGGTTCCTGAATGTGCTCCCTGCTGTTGCTCCAGGCCTTGGCGCAAAGCAGACGAATCACAGAGCAATCAAATGGCTCACTGGAAAGGTTCCCAAGGCAAGGCTGCTGGCTGCACCACACCATTCATTCTCCACATATTTTTTGCTAACAAGGCCCCGGATTTTTAGCTCCTGGTCATATGGAAGTGTGACCAAGTGCTGGCCAGTAAGATGTAAGTAGAAGTCTTGTGTGAAGTCTTTTGGGAAGTGTCCTTACAGGAATAAGCAAGCCCCTGCTTATCCCTTTCTCTTTCCTGATGACTGAAGGTGGGATGTGATGGCTGGAGCACAAGCAGCTGCCTTGGACAACGAGGTAGAAGCTCTGTGTTGAGGATGGAGGGTCAACACGGTAGAAGGGATCTGGTCTTTGGAGACTTCTAGAAGTTGCCTTACCATGCCGAGCTGGGCTTCTGTTACATGAGGGTGAAGTCATCTTCTGTTTCATTTAAGCCATGCTGCCCCTAGGTCTCTGCTCCATGCACCACACTAAACCCTAACCAGTCCTCTAGGCTCTGAGACTGCCCAGGATGGAAAAGGGAGCAGATGTTGGTTCTGCCCAGGCTGTTCTCAAATAAGTGGGTCCCATGAGGTTCTTTAATTATTATAGAAGGAGCTCGCATATGCACTGTTGAGGCTAATCTGCCCATCTCCCAAGGTCAGGGGATCATTTGTGCCCCCAGGCGACAGGTGCGGTGCTGAGGGTCACAGGGATGTGAGGGGAAGTAATGAGCTAGGATTCAACTCCTGTGGTACCAGATCCTGGACCTGTGTTCCTTAGATGACACTGCTGCCTCTGACCTTCAGTCATGCCCATGCATCCATCCATCCATCCATTTCTTCATTCACTCAATGAGTGTTCACACTATGCTTGCTAAATGCTGGGGACAGGGTAGTAAACACTACAGCTTCTAGAATCCTGGAGTGAAACAGACTAGTAGGTGGAGATAGACTGTAAGCCACCAGACAGAGAAACAGACATGGAGATTACAAAGCACTGGGCAGCGAGTCAAAAGGGGAGATGGAATTGAAAGTGACTAGTAGGGTGGCTTCAGAGAGAAGAGATGGGAAAGTATGCTCTGATCAGGGGAAGTGAGGTTGAGAAGTGAAGAAGTGGGGACTGAGGGCTGTGAGAGCTGGTAACGGTGCTCCAGGGAGAGGGAACAGCCAGTGCAAAAGTTATAGGCTGCGGGTGGCCCAGGCAGATCAGGGGATGGGGAGGCTGGAATGGGAGGGGCCAGTCTTGAATAATTTTTGGTGAGGGGATCAGACCATGTGGACCCTGGTCAGGGAATTATAAGAAGAGCTGGTACTACACAGGCTCTTACTCAGTGCTTTGCATGTCATAGCTGATATTTTGGTACCGACTTGTGTGCCCTTACCATTCATCCAGTGGTGACCAGCAGCAAACACCCATGACTTCTGGGCTTGGAGACTTTCTCAGACCACTGCAGTTGCTCTTCCCATGCACTGGCAGGCTGTTCACACACTCCCTGGCTAGAAGCATCCTGCAACCAATGTCTGCCAAGATGGGTGGATAAATACCTCAGCTCCCTCACCTCCTGGCTGGAATAAACTTGATCTCAGGGTTATTGATGGTGCACTCTTCACTGGCTCCCAAAGTTCCCAAGAAGAGTTGAGCCCACAGAGACAACCTACCAGCTAAGATGCCCTGTGTTGCTGCCTGCCTTCCCCTTCCCTGGCTCACTTTCTCCTCTCCTGTGCTAGGGCTTCCTGGGATCGCTCGTGTTCTTGTCTCCCAGTCTGCTCCCGGGACAACCCAACCTGAAACACAGAATTTGCTCATTGGTCCTCATGGTGATCCCAGAGAGGAGGCACTATCATTGCTCCCATTGCAGAGAAGAAAATCAAACCGAGGCACACAGACATTAAGTCATTTGCTCCAGGACACACAGGAAATGGCAGAGCTGGGACTTGAACTCCATGGAGGCTCTGAGTCTGTGTGTTGACCACCCCGTCTGCAGCATCATTTATATTTGGTCCTGACTTTGACTTGAGGTAGGCGGGGGTTCCATGCAGACCAGCGGTTCTTCAGCTGTGGTTCTTCCCTAGCGACAGCAGCAGCACCTGGGAATTTGTCTGAAAGAGTGATTTGGGTGGCTCACCCCCAGAGCTCGATTCTGTGGGTCTTGAGGTGGGCCCAGGAGGTTCTGGTGCACGCTCAAGTTTGAAAACCATTGGTGTAGGAGAGTGGTGTAGACATGACCTGCAGGAGAGGAATGGGAAGCAGCAGAGGGGTCTCCATCCCAGGGAGGAGAGGCTTCAGGGGAGAGAAGAGGTTCAGGGGGGTGGAAAGGGGTCAGATTCAGGCCACGTTGGGGGTTGAGCCGACAGACTTGGAGGTAGATGGGGTGTTGGGGGTGAGGGGAGGAAAAAACCAAACATGACCCCTAGATGTTTGGCTTCTGCCAGCAAATGGATCTCAGCAACATCCCCAGAGTGGGGAACACCAGGGGAAGCTGGCTGGCCAGGGCTGAGGGGTCCATGTGAAAATGAGGGGGTGGTATGCATTGAAGGGGGGCTGCCCTTCTCCTCAACCCTGCATTTTCCAGAAGCAAGACTCTTTCTGGGAATCTGACTCCCTCTGAGAACAAGCCTGGCTGAGCAGCTTTGGGAGGAGTGGGTTGGGGCAGGAGCCGGGGCCACTGGGTGGTGGTGAGGGGGGAGGGGTGGTGCAGGAGGACACACTGCAAAGTCCAGTCCTGTGGCCTGTGAAGGGAGCAACAACTGTGGTACCTGAGGAACCTCTGTTCCTGGAAGGGATGATCAGGCAGAGGCTAGCTCACCCCACACCCCAGCTGTGATGTCCTGACTCCAAAACATCTAAAGCTCAAGGGAAAAAAAAAGATAGCCGCATTTCACCATTGCATTTCAAAGCTTTCAGACAATGGTTGCCACCCAAAGATGGAAGCCCCCAAGGCAGGTCACCCTGCTGTGCAAAAAGGGCTTTGGCTGGGACATCAGTGGGCTCCCTGTGAATGGTCACATTGGAGAACAGAGTTATCCTAACATCAGCAACTGATTTAAGAAGTAGGCAATTCTTTCAAAACAGCATTTTAAAATATTTTCATCATTTAATTGTGTGCAGTATTCATATGCCCAGAAAAGCAATCTCCATTACAACACAAGGATGCATGGGCAAGGATTGGGTGGTGGGGGAAAGGGGAATGCTTAGGATTTGCAGAAATATGGAGTTCAGTGGAGAGCTGTAGAATGGAAAGGATCTGAAGAGATGGCATATCAGGCAGGAGGACTGCCACAGAGAAAGGGATGGTGGTGGGAATGACCGTGTCTGGTCATCAGCTGGCAAGATGGCCCTCTGAGCTCAGTAGGAGATACCTGTGATGGGCCAGGTAAAGAAGCAGGTCTGACTGGAAAGACAGGTGCGGATTCACTGAGCACAGGAGTATGATTTCTCAGGGCTGGCAGGTAGAGAAGGAAAACAGACACTTGTTTCTGGAAGGGGATAAAATCTTTGATTTTACTCAATCTGATCCAACATATATTAATTGTGCACCTACCACGTATAGGCACAGTTGTACGCATGAAGATACAATGGTGAACCAGACAGACATGGCCCTGTCCATAGAGCACACACTCCGAGGGTGACAGCTTAGAGAGCATCACGTGATGTTGTGTTGGT